TTTTTTTTTGTCCCCCCCCCCCCCCGGTCCTCCACTTGCTGTTTGAAAGGATGTATGCGTAGATTTCAGCCATGTTCATATGTTGGGTCCGTTGGGGTTGGCTTATTTCAGACTGTTGGTGACAGATGGCACATTTGAATGGTCCCTGTGGTTTTTTTCTTTTTAACTCCTTGCATGTAGTAAACTAACATGCAAGGGAAGAGTTAGCATAGCCTCCTCCCCCCTGGATGTGGCTGGCTTGCCACATGAAGGGAGCTGTGCATGCAAGGAGCAACGGGCAAAAGAGGAGCTACTAATCTGCAACCTAAGCTGCAGTCTCCAAATTTGCATCTCCCCCCACCCCCCACCCCCACCCCAGTTCTGCTTAAAGTTTAGGAGAGCTGTCATCTAGGAAGAACCCTCTATGAATCGCATCAATTCCATTTTTCATGATGTCTCTGCTAGTGGCTTAGCCATTTATGCTGCGTCCAGTGGCGGTGAGTTCCACAGTTCAGTGGTTTGCTGAGTAAAGGAAGGGATTCCTTTCAGCCTACGGAGGGATTGTGTTAACCTGTCAGAATTTCGTTTGCTGATTTCTCCTTTTTTCCCCCTTTCCCCCAATCCATAGAACTTTGAAGTAGAGGCTGATGACTTGGTGAGCATCCAGGAGCTTGGACGTGGCGCTTACGGCGTGGTGGAGAAGGTCTGGCACGAACAGAGTGGTACCACCATGGCTGTGAAGGTAAGAGCCACTGCCAGTCGCGGTGAGAGCCCTCCTGGACCTAAAATTGCTTCTTGGCCTTTTGGCTAAGATCAAGTGTAGTGTTCTATGCAGAAGATTGTAGATGAGGTAGTGGGGAAGTTCTTCTCTTTGTTGACAAAGTGCAGAGCGTTGGAAGGAATAAAACAGAAAGGCTTTCCGATTTATAGTCTGCAGGACCCCAATAGAGAGTTTCTTGATGTCCATCAGAGGCGCACGAAACAAGCCCTGCTGGATCAAACCGAAGATCCTTGTTTGGGAAGCGCCGTTGCTCAGGTGTGGAACACATGCTGTGCATGCAGAAGTGCCTGGGTTCAATCCCTGGCACCTCCAGTTAGGAGAACACCTTTTCTGTCTCCACAGAGCCACTCGCCAATCAGAATAGACCTGGGTCAACCCAGCCTCTTTGAGCCTGCAGGTGCCTTGGGAATGCTAAAGCAGTGAAGAAATCAGGGCCACACCAGCAGTTGCAGCAGCAGAAGAAAGAAAGAAATAAAGAAGAAATCAAGGTGTTGAGGAAATCAGGAAATAATAAAAATAAAGAATTGACTCAACACCTTGATTTCTTCTGTTGCTGCCGTGGGGATTCTGACACAGGGTGGTGGGTAAACTACAAAATGGCTGCCGAAGGAGGTGGAGCCCGCTTCAAAAAGGCTGCCGAAGGAGGTGGGGCCAGCCTCAAAAGCCTGGGAGTGAGTTCACGCATAACTCTAACAGTAACTCTTCCAACGCTTTAGGCAGAACTCTTGTTTAACAGGATGCCTTTTAAAATGAACATATTATTCAGAAATATTTTCTGGCATACACACAGCTTACTTTAGGTCACCTAGTGAAGATCCTTGTGCTGTGGTAACAGCTGCTGCCGAAGAGACTTTCAAAATCTCCAGTGGCCAGTCAGAGGCCACCCACTGTCTAAAAACATTTGATGTGAGCCATGTTGGCGCGTCCTGTAGTAGAACGGTGGCCTTCTGCTCACGTGTCGGGACACTCAGGTGAACCCCGTATCTCTCCTTATATATAATTGAGTAGTGGGTGCCAAAGTTCTAAAATGCACTCCTTTAGTGTATGGACGCTTGAACTGTCAGTCAGAAGACGCTGGCTGGGTTGACTGGCTGCTTTGTGCAGTCCCGCCCAGTGTTTCAAGGTCTTTTGCATATGGAAGCTGATTGGACTTCACTGCATTCCACACCTCAAACTCACCCCCCTCCCCGCAAGGCAGTTGGAATGTCAGTTGCATATGGAACCTTCAAGGTCTTTTGCATATGGAAGCTGATTGGACTTCACTCCATTCCACACCTCATACCCCCCCCCCCCGCAAGGCAGTTGGAAATGTCTGGTGGTGTGTAGGTCCCAGGATCATGTTTTAAAAGCTGCCTGGGGAGATGGGGACCTCAGACAGGTTACAGTGCCATAGACTCCACCCGCCAACCCAGCTATTCGCTCCTGGGGAACTATTGTTGCCAATCTTGGCCCAGCACCCATCAAACCATTCTCTTCAACCCCCTGCTGTGCAGCACACTTTCCCCTAGGGTTGCCAAACTCCAGGTGGGACCTGGAGATCTCCCACTGCTACAATTGATTTCCAGATGACAGAGATCAGTTTCCCCTGGAGAAAATGGCTGCTTTGGAGGGTAGACCCTATGACATTATACCTGCTGAGTCCTTCCGCCCCCCCACCCCGCCCAATGCTGCCCACTACAGAATCCACCCCCCAAAACTCCAGGTAGTTCCCTCCTTAGAGCTGGCAACCCTACATTCCCCTCAATGCCTGTTGGTAGGCAACTAAGCTTGGTCCTGTCACCTACTTTGGCCTTTGGGAGAAAACACATTGGGGCCAGTCCTGATAGGGTTACCAACTCCAGATGGGAAATTCCTGGAGATTTGAGGGATGGAGCCTAAAGAGGGTGAGGTTTGAGGAGGGGTGGGACCTCAGATAGGTACACTGCCATAGACTCCACCCTCCAAACCAGTCAGTCCCACATAGGGAACCATTGTTGCCAATCTCCAGGTGAGGGCTGGAGAGCACTCAGAATTACAACTGCTCTGCAGAAGGGAGGGCAGAAGTCAGTTGAAGTCAAAGGGGCAGATAATGGTAGGTTGATGGTTAGCTGGGAAGGAGATGGGGTTGCCAACTACATGCTGACAAATTCCTGGGGATTTGAGGGGTGGAGCCTGGAGAGGGTGGGGTTTGCAGAGGGGTGGGACCTCAGACAGGTAGAATGCCATAGACTACATCCTCCAAACCAGCCACTTTGTCCTGGGTAACAATTGCTGCCAATCTCCAGGTGAGGGCTACAGATCACTCACAATTACAACTGCTCTTCAGGTAGCAGAGATCAGTTCCTCTGGAGAAAACAGTGGACTTTATCATTATACCCTGCTGAGGTCACCACAGCAAATTGACACTGTTTGCCCAAAGCCAGAGCACTCCCCCAGACCCTCTTTCTAGATCTCGTTGTATTGCTTTCACAACGGGCTTTACTGCTAGTAAACCACCATATTTGTGACTGGCTTTGTAGAAGGGCCTGATACTCCCATGCATATAGAGAGAGTGAGGACGCCCTGCTTCCTCGATCTCTTTGCATGCATGCTGAGAACAGCGGCCGGATGGCAGGGCCAGGGTCCCAGGTTAGTGGAAGGGATTCCTCCACGGCTCTGACACTTGGCTTGTTCGTGACACACACACACCCACACACACCCTTAGTGTGGGGCTTGGGTTGCCTCTCCGACCTCTTCCACTCCACTGTTCGGGGTTCTGGCCTTGCCACTGGTGAGTTCATAACTCTGGCTCCTCCCCTTTCCTGTCACATGACTTCTCTCATGTGCTTGCTGCTTGCCAGAGTGGTCCCCTGTTCTGTGGGTTCGGGCTCTGGAACGGTTAAAGAGCATTGAGCTAGATGGCCACGATGCTTGCACTGTGCACAAGGCAGCTTCAGGTGCTCCTCGTAGGTCATGTCGTGTTTCAACAGCAGCTAACCCCCCCCCCCCCCCCGGGCCCCCCCCCCACCCAGTAATCCTCTTCTTCTATGCTGCATTCCATATACTGGCAACAGAAACTGAGAAGGCGCGGAAAAGTTGGCAAGGGGGTAGCAGTCTGTGTCTATAAGCCAGCAAGAAGTGCGTCAGAGGAATGCCTTACAGTCCGCAAAGTTGTAACTTTTGTTCATCATCGATCTTTGGTGCAGTTCCACATGGGGACTGTGCATGAACAGGCCTGCCATTGGAGAAGTTCTTTCACCTAAGCGTCTCCAGGGGGCGCTGTGTGCTGGAGCCAGAAAACTTGTTCCCGCCCAGGGACCACGTGCTCTTGAGCAGCAAGGGCCCCCATAGTTCCTCTTTTGCCACCGAAGGAGGTGGTCGTCTTTGTTGAGCCTCCAGTATTTTGTGTTGGTGAGGAATTGCTTCCCTGGTTCGCTGCGGTTGTTCAAACTTCTGAGTTTTACCTTGGCTCCAGAAAGCTTTGTTCAGAAAATGCATCCATTGTGGGGCGAAGATGACCCAAACCGATGAATGTGACCTATGTCCGTTTTGTTTGGGTGAGGGGCATAACGTCCCCCCCCCCATGTAAAGCCTGCCAGTGCTTTACCCCCAATGCTCGGGGAGATAGGGTGTCAAAACGTAAGGCAACACTGTGGGCGAAAGCCCTCAAAGCGTTGGAGCCATCATCTAAGCCGGCCCTGGAAAAATTAGCCACTGCCGCATCCTTGGAATCGATGCAGTTGGCTCTGCCTTTTGGGTGCAGAGCACAACGGGTCCAATTGAGTACATGCTCTCCTTGGGCTCATCGGGCTTCTTCTAAGCTTCCAGTTGAGAGGGCGAAGACCAAGTCCAAAGATAAGGGCAAACACTAATCTGCGTCCCAACAACACACTCCGGTCCACACTCCTGAGCCAGGACCTGAGGTCCCCTCCGGTTTCAATCTCGGGCGGGGAAGCAGAAGTGAACTTACCGGCGGTTCTGCATGACTCAGATCCGGAGCAAGTGGCAACAGTTCCGTGGCCTCAGCCTCAACTGTCCATGTGATGGCCGTCGCACCTGTATATGTTGTCTCCAGGCTATCTGGAAGGCTGGGGCGACAGTTTTGCTCAGCCCAGAGATGTGAACTTATATCCCTATTCTCATCGGGATCCATCATATCTGCCTTCAGCATTGGTTTCATGTAGGCCTCGCTCCCCTCTTTCAGCTGTGTGGGAAGAGGATGCTATTGAATCTGACAGGATCCGAGTGTGGACAAGAGGGTGGGTGAGCCTTCTCCAGCCTCCCCTGCGGAAGATGTCCGTATGTATGAGGAACAGATGATCCATATGGCTCAGTCCCTGGAGACAGAAGTTGTTACATTCGAACACAAACCAAAGGCGAAAGACTGAGTCACCTCTATTCAGAGTCCCTTGGCATTATTGCGTTCCCAGTGTTAGAGGGGCTGTGGAGGACCAAAGCCCACTTCCCTTCAATCCACGTCTAGAAGAGCGGAACATTTTTATAGGATCAAGAAGAAGGAGCCTTTTAACTATTTAATGACACGTCCTCCACCGTCTTCTCTGGTGGCTGAGGAGACGCAACCTAAAGGCCGTCAGGCTTCCCATTCCACTCCCATGGATAGAGAGGAAAGGAAGTTGGATGTCTTGGAATGGAAATTGTGTTCTTCTTCTGCGTTGCGTTTCAAGGTTTCCAACTATGAGACAATCAACTTTTCTTATGGTCGAGACTCCTGGAGCTTCTGCCCAAGGACAAGAGGCCCCTTGCTGAGGTCCTACACACTGAGGCCATCAAACTGTCCGGGCAGCAGATCAAAGCAGGTCGAGATTCTGCGGATTCTGCAGCGCGTGCCATGGCAAGTTCTATCGTACTCAGACGCCACAGCAAGATCAACTGCGTTACCTGTAGAGACCAAGCACAAGATCGAGGACCTACCTTTCAATGGTTCAACACTTTTTTCTACAAGGACTGACGAGACGCTGTCCTTGATAAAGAATAAGCATGATAAAGAATAAGCAGATGGCTAAGTCACCGGGGGTGTTGCAACCCGGTCCTTCCCAGTCCAAGCAGAGGCCGTTTGCACAGCAGCCCTGGCAATCTTACCAGAGGGACTGCTGCTACGCTAAGCCGTGGGGGTGCTCCTGCTAAGCCGTTTATCCTACAACAAGGTTCTCACAGGCGTGAGGGCTCCAGCCAGCCTAGGTCAACCCACCGACCGCCCCCTCCTAGAGATGTGGTTCCATCCCAAAAATCTTCTTTCTGACTGGGAGTGGTCTTGGTTCCTAAAGTCTGGAGACAGGCTAGCTCAGTTTTACTCTGCCTGAGAGGTGATTACCTCCAATGAGTGGGTTTTGTCCAGAATTGGAATTTAAGTCGGTTCCGCCATGTTCTTTGGCGGGGGGTGGTGGTGGTGGTATGTATCCAGGCAGCACCGGACCTGTCCCAGGCGTTAGTCACCCTCATTGGCAAGGATGCGATTCAGGAGGTGTCGCAAGCACCCGAGGGTTTTTTCTCTCTCATGCTCTTGGTTGACAAGAAAGACCGGGGAAGGGGGGGGGGAGAGATGGATTAGGCCTATTCTGGACCTTAGAAGTTTAAATATTTTTCTTCACATATCCACGTTCTGCATGGTTTCTATTCCTTCAATTTTACAGTTATTAAGGTTCAGCTGTTGGTTTATCGTGATTGACCTGACAGATGCTTACTTTCACATTTCCATTCATCCTCAACACCGCAAATTCCTGTGCTTTTCTTGTGGGAAACCTGGGTTCCAGTACACTTGTTTTACCTTTTGGCTTGGCTGTGGTGCTGTCAAAAGTCCCAGTCCCAACCCCAGGTACGGACACAGAGGGTGCGACAAAACAAAATTACAAAATACTAGAGAGAATCCATTGGTCCCCTAGTAGTCTCTTTCTTTTGTTTTAGTATAATTGATGCTTAAGCCCTTTGAACCTTTTGTAATGGTGGCAACAGCCCTCTGGTAGGGGTAACACCCTTGCCGTTCTTTGGCTGAACGCTCTATGAAAGTATGTTTTCTAGTGGCTGTTACATTAGCCAGGAGGGTAAGCAAATTAGCAACTCTTCCTGAAAGGGTAACCCTTTGACCCTTTGGTTTCTCCCTGATGTAGTTTCCAGGTTCCACTTATCCCAGGATATTATTTTGCCCATCTTTTTTCCTGCACCAAGCTCTGAAAATAAGCAGTTGTTGCACTCCCCGGATGTTAGAAGGGATTTATTATTCTCCCTTAAAAGAGCCCTGGAGTTCCGCAGGGATAGAGCACTGTCTGTATGGTTCACTGGTCCTAATAAGAGGGACAGGGCTTTATCCAGGTGGATAGTCTCAAAGATTGGGAAATGCTGTGGTTTGACCAAGTTGCTGTGCCCACTGAACATCCGCACCCATTCCACTAGAGGTATGGCTTCCTCGGCAGCTTGCTTCGATGGAGTACCATTGATGGAGATCTGCCAAGCTGCTACTTGGTCGTCAGCAGACACGTTTGTACACCACTACACTTTGGATCTGCAGGCGAGGTGAGAAGCTCGAGCGGGAAAGGCAGTACTTCATTCTCTGTTGAAGTGAGGAGAGCATGCCCTACTCCCGGGTGAGTAGCTTGCTAGAATCCCCATGTGGGACTGCACAGAAGATCGGTGATGAAAACCAAGTTGCACTTACCTGTAACTGTTGTTCATCAAGTATCTTCTGTGCAGGCACACATACTCTCCCTCCTGCCCCACTGCATGCTCCGACGTAAATGGCACTAGAGGTACTGAGGGTGGGGCGCTGCTGTGTGGGCACACGTGGTCCCTGGACGGGAAGGAGTTTTCTGGTTCCAGTGCACAGTGCCCCCTGGAGGCTCTTAGCTGAAAGAACTTCTTCGATGGCAGGCCTGCTCATGCGCAGTCCCCATGGGTACCTGCAAAGAAGATACTTGATGAATTATAGTTACAGACTAGCAGTAAAGCCCGTTGTGAAAGCAATACGGGATCTAGAAAGAGGGTCTGGGGGAGTGCTCTGGCTTTGGGCAAACAGTGTCAATTTGCTGTGGTGACCTCAGCAGGGTATAATGATAAAGTCCACTGTTTTCTCCAGAGGAACTGATCTCTGCTACCTGAAGAGCAGTTGTAATTGTGAGTGATCTGTAGCCCTCACCTGGAGATTGGCAGCAATTGTTACCCAGGACAAAGTGGCTGGTTTGGAGGGTGTAGTCTATGGCATTCTACCTGTCTGAGGTCCCACCCCTCTGCAAACCCCACCCTCTCCAGGCTCCACCCCTCAAATCCCCAGGAATTTGTCAGCATGTAGTTGGCAACCCCATCTCCTTCCCAGCTAACCATCAACCTACCATTATCTGCCCCTTTGACTTCAGCTGACTTCTGCCCTCCCTTCTGCAGAGCAGTTGTAATTCTGAGTGCTCTCCAGCCCTCACCTGGAGATTGGCAACAATGGTTCCCTATGTGGGACTGACTGGTTTGGAGGGTGGAGTCTATGGCAGTGTACCTATCTGAGGTCCCACCCCTCCTCAAACCTCACCCTCTTTAGGCTCCATCCCTCAAATCTCCAGGAATTTCCCATCTGGAGTTGGTAACCCTATCAGGACTGGCCCCAATGTGTTTTCTCCCAAAGGCCAAAGTAGGTGACAGGACCAAGCTTAGTTGCCTACCAACAGGCACTGAGGGGAATGTAGGGTTGCCAGCTCTAAGGAGGGAAATACCTGGAGGTTTGGGGGGTGGATTCTGTAGAGGGCAGCATTGGGCGGAGCGGAAGGACTCAGCAGGTATAATGTCATAGGGTCTACCCTCCAAAGCATCCATTTTCTCCAGGGGAACTGATCTCTGTCATCTGGAGATCAATTGTAACAGTGGGAGATCTCCAGGTCCCACCTGGAGATTGGCAACCCTAGGGGAAAGTCAGCTGCACAGCAGGGGGTTGAAGAGAATGGTTTGATGGCTGCTGGGCCAAGATTGGCAACAATAGTTCCCCAGGAGCCCCATCGTAAATGCACCAAACAATTCCTAAAGTGTGGAATGGAGTGAAGTCCAATCAGCTTCCATATGCAAAAGACCTTGAAGGTTCCATATGCAACTGACATTCCAACTGCCTTGCGGGGAGGGGGGTGAGTTTGAGGTGTGGAATGCAGTGAAGTCCAATCAGCTTCCATATGCAAAAGACCTTGAAACACTGGGCGGGACTGCACAAAGCAGCCAGTCAACCCAGCCAGCGTCTTCTGACTGACAGTTCAAGCGTCCATACACTAAAGGAGTGCATTTTAGAACTTTGGCACCCACTACTCAATTATATATAAGGAGAGATAACTGCATCTTTGTTTAACAGTCTCCTTGTTTTGCTCTTTCCGATTCAGAGGATCCGGGCCACTGTGAACACACAGGAACAGAAGAGACTGTTGATGGATTTGGACATCTCTATGAGGACGGTCGACTGCTTCTACACTGTCACTTTCTACGGTGCCCTTTTTCGAGAGGTGTGTGGGCAGCAATAAATTGCCAGGGACATTTTTCTGCCAGTCTTGCAGGGTGGTCTTGATAGCTCAGGCAAACCATTCAAATTGCTTTAAGGTGGCGGGGCGTGTCTGCTCACCTCACTTCATATAGTACTTTCAAGTGTTCAAAGTGTTCGGTGCATATTTATCTTGCGACCTGCACAATATTTTACTTATTTGAAAAATCTTTATGCCACCTTTCCACCCAATCAAGGTTCCCAAGACGGCATACATAAAAACATGAGAACATTTGAACAATTTTTTTAAAAATTAAAATTATAAAACCATTCAGTAAAAACACAAAAACAACCCCAAGAATCAGGGAGGAGGACCAATAACTGTTATGGGGGGGGGGGTATGCGAAATGAACCAAAGTCTTCACCTGCTGGTGGGAGACACCAATAGAGAGAGACCAATGAGTCTATCTGGGGAGGGGGTTCCAAAGTTTTGGTGCCACAACTGAGAAAGCCCTCTCTTGGGTTGCTACCTGTCTACCCTCAGATGTGGGAGTAACCAAAGCAGGTCCTCCAATGATGACCAAAGTGAACGGGCAAGTTGTTCACAGCAACCTTGCAAGGGAGATCAATAGGACCATCCTCCCTCCAATTGAATAGTGTGACTTGCTGTTAAGTGCCTGACAGAGATGGAGGTTCGAACCAGGGAATTTGTGCTTCACAGTTCAGCATCTTAGCTGCTGTGCTACGGCAACCCTCTAGGGACAATCCGTCAGAGGGCCATTCTCTGTCTGACGCAGGCTTCTCTTTCTTTCTCCCCGCCCTTGTTCTCAGGGAGACGTGTGGATATGCATGGAGCTGATGGACACGTCTCTGGATAAGTTCTACAAAAAGGTCCTGGAGAAGAAGAAAACGATCCCGGAAGACATACTGGGGAAAATTGCTGTATCTGTGAGTGGTGCCTTCTTGGGGGGGGTGGGGGGATGATGGACGGACAGACGACCAACAGCAGAGCATTTTCATACACCCACCTCTTCCAAATCTGCCTGAGATGGTTAATGAGACTGCAATAAAGTGGCTAGTGCAACAGATTTAAAAAACACAATCACATCAGGGCAGTGGTTGAAACAATGCAACTCGGCCATCAGAAAGCATCCCGTTTCTCTGTGCTGAAACAGCTAAGCAGCTGAAATGTTAGCTCATTAAAATCCGCCATGTAATAAACCTCAAAAGCAGACTGTACCAAGCAGAAGAGAAACGGGGCAAGATGAGGGGTTATAAAGCCGGAATGAACATAAATGTCTTAATGGTGTCTCCAAGCTGATAGGATAGGTGCCAGGCTAGGTTCAGAGGGGTGAAGGCACCATTGCACAGGGTTATACAGGGTACAACTGTTAGGTTGTGGGGTCTGGCTTGGCTGACTCAGCTGTGGGGCTCGGCTAACTCTCTCTTGCCCGTCCCCAGATCATCCGAGCCCTGGAGCATCTACACAGCAAACTGGCAGTGATTCACAGAGGTAGGTGTTCAGCAGCTCCCGCGAGCACTTCTGCCGTTTTTTTCCTCTCGTGTCTTTTCGTCTTGATGTTGTGGCCACACCCAAATAATTGGTTTTTTCTGCCTCTCTGGGTGTAGCTTTTCAAGTCTGTGGCTGTCCCACGTGTTTTGCATAATGCCGATTTGCATTATTGAAGGCATTTGCAAAACTAGGAAATGCCGTGCCAGGGGAGGATGGAGGTGGCCAACTGAGGAGATCTTTCGTAGATGCTTTTAAAAAACAAAACCCTTCCTGCCCTTCAGGGAGCTCAGGGTAGTATACATTATTCTCCATTTCTCCATTTTTATCCACGCAACAACCCTGTGAGGTAGGTTAGGCTGAGCAAGAGTGGCTGTCCCATCCTTAGTTCAGCAGCTCATACCGCAGCACCACACTGGTTCTCAGGGAGACCAGTTTGGTGTAGTGGTTAGGAATGTGGACTATAATCTGGGAGAACCAGGTTTGATTCCCCACTCCTCCACATGCAGCCAGCTGGGTGACCTTGGGTCAGTCACAAGATCTCTCAGAGCTGTTCTCTCAAGAGCAGTCCTCGAAAAAGCTCTCTCAGCCCCACCTACCTCACAGGGGGTCTGTTGTGGGAAGAGGAAGGGAAGGAGATTGTAAGCTGCTCTGAGACTCCGAGTGAAGGGCAGGGTATAAATCCAGTCACCTCCTCTTTCCTCTTCTTCTTCCTCCTCCTCCTCCTCTTCTTCTTTTTTATTATTTTATTTATAATTTTCCAACGTTTTAAACAGCCTTTAGCAGATTTACAGTTACATTCTGCTGTGTCATTTTTTCACATCCTATTATTCAACCATACAGACATTTTATTCCATCTTTTCTCATATACGTCTTGGTCTTTCCCTTAACCTATCCATTTTAGCCAACGACAATAGTTTGTCTATCAGTTCCTCTATTGAGGGGATTACCGTATTTTTCGCTCCATAAGACGCACCTGACCATAAGACGCACCTAGTTTTTAGAGGAGGAAAACAGGAAAAAGTGCCTCTTCTGTTGCTGTTCAGTGGGGAGAGAAGCCTCGAGCCGGATCTCCCAGGCGGCAAAGCGAGAAGGGCCCCGCTGGCCACAATGCTTTACAGCCTCCCAAAGACACACCAGAAGTGTGTCAGAAGGCAACACCCACTGCTCACGCTCCACCCCAAAAATCTCCAAGTATTTCCCAACTCAGAGCTGGCGAACCTACCTGGAGAAAAACTGCTTCAAAAGCACAAAGAAAATTTGTAGCAGGGGATCAGCTTTTGTGAGTCACTGCTCTCTTCTACAGATATTTCATAGCTGAAGAAGTGACCAGTGACCCAGTTATGAATAGAGGCTACAGTTCCCACATTTGCAGAAGTCTACAGATATGGGCAACATCCTCCTCACTTGCTACCTACATGTAATGGTTGATGACTCTTTCAATGTATCTGAAAATGAGTGCATGAACACAAAAGCTTAGACCCAGAATTAAACTTTGTGGGTCTTAAAGGTGCCACTGGACCCAAACTTTGTTCTATTGCTTCAGACCAACACAGCTACCCACCTGGATCTATGCAAACCAGAATGATTCAAGAGGGCTCTTCTACACAGGCAATAGGGTTACACTGTACAAAAGACTTCACAAAGTTACTTGAACAAATTATTAGGGTACACCCAACACCTCCTGTCCACACATGCTTAAGGTAGGATAGCAGCTCAATATTTCATTAGCAGTGGTACTTAAGAATATCTGTTCCAGTGCAACAGAACAAAGTTTGAGTTCAGTGGCACCTTTAAGACCAACAAAGTTTATTCACATGAAAGCTAAGACCCAGAATTAAACTCTGTTGGTATTAAAGGTGCCACTGGACTCAAGCTTTGTCTGGCACACTTTGTGTTTATTGACTGTTAACCTTTATTTAAGCTGGTTATAGCTTAAAAAAGAGAGGAAGGAAGGAAGGAAGGAAGGAAGGAAGGAAGGAAGGAAGGAAGGAAGGGGATAGAAAGAAAGGGAAGGAAGGCAGGAAAGGGAAAGAAAGAAATGGGAGAAAGGAAAAGAAAGAAATGGGAGAAAGGAAAAGAAACAAAGCAAAGAAATGGAAAGAAAGGGGAAGAAAAAATGGGAAGAAAGGGACAGAAAATGAAAGCCTCTGTGTATGTTTGCTTTCCCCAAGTTCTAAATTATCCCACGAGCAGTTAAAAAGGAGCTTGAAGACTTACATTTGAAACCACCTCAGGTCCATTCAGCATATAAAACGAAAGTGAAACGAGCTCCAAGAGGACCAAACTAAATCACAAAGATATTAAGGGAAGAGCAGACTGTACCATTTAGCTTTGCCATCTCTCTGTGTGTGTGTCTCTTAGATGCAAGCCCCGTTCAGCCTCCCCATGGGCTCCCCTGGGCTTGGGAGGGGGGGAGGAGGCTGAACGGGGCTTGTATCTCTTAGATGCAAGCCCCGTTCAGCCTCCCCATGGGCTCCCCTGGGCTTGGGAGGGGGGGAGGAGGCTGAACGGGGCTTGTATCTCTTAGATGCAAGCCCCGTTCAGCCTCCCCATGGGCTCCCGCGGGCTTGGGAGGGGGGGGAGGAGGCTGCACGGTTGATTTCCAACATTTTGCTAGCATTATTCTTGCCACTGTAAAGATATACGTTATTATATATAAATTTTCCTTCTTACATTGTTCTGGAAATATATTTAATAAACATGTTTCTGGTACAAACAGTATTTCTAGTCCTGTTATTTTTTTCACAGTATTATATATGTTGCACCAATACTTTTGCATTTTTTTCACATCTCCACCACATGTGAAAATATGTGCCAACATTTTTTTTTACATTTCCAACAGTTTCTATTACCGTTCAGAAAGCAATTTGCTATTTTATCTGGTATCCAGTGCCACCTATGGAACATTTTAAATATATTTTCTTTATATGGTATGGCTCTCATCAGTTTTGCAGATTTCCAAATTTTTGTCCATTGGTCTATGTCTATGTTGTGCTCTAGATCTTTCATCCATGCTATCATGGTTGTTTTAACTGTTTCATCTTGTAAATAATCAGTAGAACGTTATATAGCTTTTGGATTAGTTTGTCATTTGATGAGAGCCATATCTTGTCTAAGTCATTATTGCTACCCTAGAATCCTTCTTTCTTATCTTTGTTGATTCTTGGAAAGCTATGTAGAACTTTTCTTTCAAATATGTGGGTAGCCATCCTAATTTTGATTGACTGTTGTTGTTTTAGTAGTATTTGTTTAAAACAAACAAGGCATGCAGAGAAGAATAAGATGCAGTTTAAGGTATAGAAGTCTCCAGACTTGGCTCCTTCTGGATGCCTAATCATGAGGTCTAGAAACTTGGCGGTGGGTGGGTGGGGAGTCTTTCCATGTATTTCTATGGCTCTGGCTGCATTCCAAGCCCTACACCCTTTGTGCATGCACATCTCTGTTCTGACAAGAAGGGCCCGTCTGTACATCTCTGCTTCCCACAGTTAGTTATCTGAGTGCTTCCAGCACATATCTGGAGTCACAGATGGGAATTCTCCCATTCCTCCTTTCTCCACACAACCCTGTGAGGTAGGTTTTGCTGAGAGAGGAAGTGAATGTGACTGGCGCAGAGTCGCCCCTGTGAGGCTTTTGAATATATTCTTTGCTATAGCCGACAGTGTTCCGTGCGCCTCGGTGTTTAGTCATGCCGGCCACATGACCACGGAAACGTCTTCGGACAGCGCTGGCTGTTCGGCTTTGAAACGGAGATGAGCACCGCAACCCTAGAGTCGGACTCGACTGGCTTTCGAGCAAGGGAAACCTTTACCTTATAGCTGACACTAATGATTGCACCACAGATGTTCAGCATGTGGGGGCTGTTCAGAGTGGGAACCCCTTCTTCAGGTGGCGCGCACATTAATTCTGATCGTTTTGATCTTGACAGACGTGAAGCCGTCCAATGTCCTGATCAATAAGGAAGGGCACGTGAAGATGTGTGACTTCGGCATCAGCGGCTACTTGGTGGATTCCGTCGCAAAGACGTTGGATGCTGGCTGTAAACCTTATATGGCTGTGAGTGGCGTAACTGGAGGGGGCATTTCTGCCCTCTCCTATTTATATAGGGAGGAAGTATTCAGTATTCAGTCATGCGATTCCTTCCGCCCACAACTAGAAATAGTACAGTCCCAGGAAGAATTACCCCCAGAGCAAAGGCAGTCAGCATGTAGACCGGGGGTCCCGAGTCTTTTTGAGCCTGCGTGCACCTTTGGGATTCTGATACACTGGTGGGCACGTCCACAAAATGGCTGCCATAAAACAGCTGCTGCACTAGGCAGAGCCAGACAGAAAATGGTTGCTGCAGCTTTCCCTTCAGTCATACAGTGAAGATCGTTGTGCTGTGATGGCAGCTGCTGCCAAAGGAACATTTTTAGAAATCCACACAGCCAATCATCGAATCATAGAGTTGGAAGGGACCTCCAGGTCATCTCGTCCAATCCCCTGCACAATGCAGGGAATTCACAGATACCTCCCCCCCACCCTACACACACCCAGTGACCACTGTTCCATGCCCAGAAGATGACAAAAAACCTCTAGGATCTCCAGCCAAACTGCTTCCTGACCCCAAAGTGGCGATCAGCACTTCCCTGGGCGTGTAAGAAAGGGCCATGAGAACTAAGCACTGAGGCAACCCTTCCTGCCCTCCCTCTGGTGATTTGGCCCTGCCCACTTTCACCCCGCCCACATTCTAAAAACACACTTGGTGGGCAACAGGAAAGGGGTTGTGTGGCTTTGGCATGCCTGCTCACTGCCCACCCTTGCAGGGAGTGTGCATCCTGTGTGTGCCCCATCTGTAACACGGCTTTGACTTTTCTCCCGCCCTTTGCAGCCAGAGAGGATAAACCCAGGGCCAGATGTGATCCAAAAGGGATATAACGTGAAATCAGATGTCTGGAGCTTTGGGATTACCTTGGTAAGATACATAATGGACGTCTCTTGTTTGTTGGCATGTGAGAAGTAAGCCTGTCTGCGTACAGCCTTAACTTATTACCGAGGCTGCAGTGTATCATATATTGTTCTTTTTTGTTTTTTAAAAAAAAGACATTTGGAAGTCCCTCCCCTCCATCACCTTTAAAAACTGGCACTCATGGCAGCTTGCAGTTATAAACGCAGTTTTTACAGTGTGAAAATTATAAGTAATGTTTCAAGAGATGGGGGGGGAGGAAATGAGATTGCAGTGAGTTGCCCCCCTCCCCGCCTCCTCTTCTCTGTGTTTTGTACATCAGTCTTGTCTCCAGCAGGTGGCAGTGAGAGAAGTCTGATTTTTAGAGCTGATTTCAAGGTAGTGTTTTTTGAATGATACAAAACTTGCACTGTGATCTTGTACACCAAGATTGTGCGTGACGTCTCTTTTTTTTTGTTGCATTTTTTGGACATAATTCTGATTTTGCCAAGTCCAGGTCCAGAAATCAAGCCAAGACAAGAATTTTATTTTAGCACACTTTTGTTTAAATCCCATCTTTTATCCAAGGAGCTCAGGGGGACGTTCGTCATCCCCCCTCCATTTTATCTCTGCAACAACCTTGTGAGGTACACTAGATAGTGTGACTGGCCCAAGGTCACCCAGCAAACTTCATGGCAGAGAGGGTGATTTGAACCCCGGCCTTCCAGATCGTAGTGAGAGATCCTAAACACTATACCATGCTGGTTACAAAGGAGCAAAAGCACAGGATGGTCATTTGGTATGGCAAGAGGTAGAGCTAACACAGGAGCACATTAACTCTGCTATTTACATTTTTATAACCCTCTGTAAGCCTAAGTGTGCCAACTGTGGATGCACTTCATGCATCTGATGAAGTGGGCCTCAAGTTCAAGAAACTATGCCATGATCATTTTGAATTTCTTTTTCTTTTCCCCTCCCCTTCTGGCAATAATGAAAAAAGTGTATTAAAATATTATTTATTTTCTTGTATGTTTGGAGTGGGTGGTGGCAACACAATGTGCCCTCATAAGGAAAAGCTTGTGTGTGATCCAACCAGTGGCTGACCGTGGTAGTTCCCTCGTGATTCCCCTGGCTTGTCTGCCCCTCTTAGATCGAGCTGGCCATCCTCCGCTTCCCTTATGACTCCTGGAGGACCCCTTTCCAGCAGCTGAAACAAGTGGTGGAGGAGCCTTCTCCCCAGCTGCCCTCCGATCGCTTCTCACAGGACTTTGTAGACTTCACAGCACAGTGGTGAGTCCCTCGCGGGTCCCTCTCTCTTACCCAAGGACCTCTCTTCTTCATTAATTAATTAAACAAAGTTTGAGTCCAGGGGCACCTTAAAGACCAACAAAGTTTAATTCTGGGTATAACTTTTCATGTGCGTGCACACGAAAGCTTATGCCCAGGATTAAACTTTGTTGGTCTTCAAGGACTCAAACTTTGTTCTGTTGCTTCAGACCAACACAGCTACCCCCGTGACTCTATTATCATTTTGGTCATGCAAGCCGAAATAAATTCAAATTATTTTAATAATTCATATCGCTCCCCCTAAAGTTCTGAATGGCTCTCAAAACACAGATGAATTCCCAGAGAAGAAAGATGGCCACCTGAGTGTGATGGGAGATGTTCAGTTGTCTCTCTTTGTTTCTCTCCCCAGTTTGAAGAAGAATCCTGCGGAACGAATGAGCTACCTGGAGCTGATGGTGAGTATTGATCCCTGGCCTCTCTCACTCATGTTTCAGTTGGAGTTATGACTAAGGGCCAAACAACATTTTACCCTAAGGATCTCCCACCAGCTTTAACCTTGAGCTGGTCACAGAACTTGTATGTGTGCGGTGTGCGAGTTGGGATACTCTGTTGGGGGCCCAGAGGTGCCATTGTGCCCTTCAGCTTGGCACTTTGCCTGTGGCGATCCTCCGGCCACCACCATTCTCCTCAGCAGACCTGATGCCCTCTTCTGTTCCTTTCCGGCAGGCCCACCCTTTCTTCACCTTGCACGACACCAAAGTGACCAACATGGCTGACTTTGTGGTAGAAATCCTCGGGGAAGACTCCTAAATTTGCCACAGACCTCGCTGTCGGACAAAGGAAACGGCACGGCGGCGTTCCCGGCTGTCCCCATGGAGAGAGAGAAGGACATAACAGACTTTAGCATTAAATGATTGTTTGCACAAAACAGAATGAATGTCTTCGATGCATCCTCCCACCCCTCCGGCTTTTAGGCATTTTTTTGACTCCTGAGATAGAAGTCAAGCTACAGAGTAAAGCTCGCGCACCATCAGTTCAGGAGGAGGGTGTACCTGGGACAGGCGCTTCAATTCTTTTCGACGCTCGAGCCTGTCACCCATTTGGTTGTGCTGATGAAGTGACGTGAGGTGCTCTATTTTTCAGGGGCAGATTCCTCAAAGTGTGGTTATGGAAATGGGTGCTTTGAAAATGCAGTTGCGTGGGCAGTAACCCCGTCGAAAACGGCAGGCAAATGCCCGCGGGAAGGGGGTGGGGATGGCTTTCCTGCCCCCCTTCTCCAAATAATGCTCTTCCCTGCCCATTGAAAACTAGCACTGGATGGATGTGTAGCTTCACCCCTCCTCCTTTTGATGTGGTAGTTCGTTTTTATCCTGAGGCACATTGATGTGGCTTTTTTTAATCTGAGAAGTTTGCTGCCACATAACCTGTGACTTAGCTTCCATGCCTGCCCCTTTCCCCGCAAACCTCCCATCATGAGCTCACCAGCAGCACGTGTTTTGTCTGGTTCGTAAACCTCGTCTAACCAGATGTTGCTGTAACGGCTACCTTTGAAATTGCTTTAGTGGGGGTGGTGGTGTTCGGACAAATGGCTGAATCCATTCCTAGTTCTGGGTAGTAATTGCCAAAGGGCGATTCCCCTTCTCCCGTGTCCCGTGTACTGTGTCTATCCACAGTCATGTGGTGAAACCACAACTTTTGGTGCCTTCTAATATTTCTAAATGAGTTTGGGAGCCAAGGAGTGATTGATCTTAAAGACATATCATGTGCCTTGCTGTCCCTTGGTCTGTGTTCTGTGATGGCCATCTGCAGCCAGTTCTGCCATCTTTGTGTCCCTTTGGGGCGGCACAGCAAAGAGGGTGCTGACGTGCATCGGGGGCTTGATCCCAGCCCCTTGGCATGGTGAGAGATGACCGGCATCTCTCATGGTCCTGCACCACTGCTGGCCCCTGGATGCTCGCTCGATAGCATGGCCCAGAGGCCTCTGGGGCCCTGACCTTTCTACTCTGAGGTAAAATTCCTGTCAACGTGGATATTTTCCTCAGTTATGGTGACCAGATAGTCACTCTCAATGAATTTTCTTTTTTTCTTTTTTTGAAAACACAGATGCCTCTCAATGAATTTTGTTTTTTTTAAAAAACAAACACAAAGATGCCTCTCAATGAATTTTGTCCTTTTTTTGTTGAAAACAGATGCCTTTCAATGAATTTTGTTCTTAAAAAAACACAGATGCCTCTCAATGAATTTTGTTCTTTAAAAAAAAAAAAAAACAGATGCCTCTCAATGAATTTTGTTCTTTTTTTTAAAAAAACAGAGATGCCTCTGGGTCCCCAGCACTTCATCTTCTGAGGTAAAATTCCTGTCAATGTGGAGATTTTCCTCAGTCATGGTGACTGTGGATAATCACTCTCAATGAATTTTGTTCTTCTTTTTTTGAAAGCACAGATGCCTCTGGGTCCCCAGCCCCTTCTTACTCTGAGGTAAAAGTCCTGTCAGTGGGTGATTTTTTCCTCCTCAAGCCATCCCACATATTGGAGGCGTGTGAAATGAAGGCCTGACTCTTGAAATGAAGAGCAGCCTAAGGAGGCTGGAGTTTTGAGCCAGGGAGGAGGTGGATCTCAGTATGGTCCTCTCTCTCATCCAGAGTCATAGATTTCCACATGCATGTAGGCCTTCGTAAACACGCAGGGTGAGAACAGCTGATGGTGGAAGGATTAAGCCCTTCCTGCCTCATGCTCCTGTTCCGTCAAAAGCGCAGCATCTTGGGGTCTGCTTTTCACTGAATAGCACGAGCATTGGGGCCTCAATTGTACACATTGGCTAGCAAATCCACGTGTAGTGGCTTGCAGAAAGTGTACCTGCCCGCCCATTAATGAATTCCACAAGTTAAATTTTGCCGGTGAAACGTGATGTTGATTTAAATAAGAGACGCTTCAGACGGGCTCGGCCTGCTTCAGTTATGTTGTGTGGCCCTCCCAGACCAGCCTCCTGGGTGCACTTGGCCAATGATTGTAGTGAAACGTCCCGTGACCCTTCTCTGCTCCTGTATAGGGTGCCTTTTATGATTTTTTTAAAAAAAGACTGTTGAGAATTCCCTTCCTTTCCCCCCTTCCCCCTTTTACAGAACTGCTTCAAAATCCCCCCTCCTCATAATCCCCCCCTCCTCAAAAGGGGAGACATGAATTCTAACTTGAGGTAGTCAGATGTCCTATAGATAGTATCCCCTTTTCTTTTTTTCCTAAAAATGAAAAGGCGCTTTTTAAAAAAACAAAACAAAAACTCCCTAATATATTTGTGTGTGTATATATATATATAAATTATATTTAAGAAACAACTTGATGATGAATATTGAGGAGAGTTTGGCGGGGGGGGGGAGCCAGAAACTTAGAAGAAGCAGTTGGGAGAACTGTTTAATAAAAATATTTTTAAGCTCTAAGAGGTGGTGTCCTTTGAGAAGCAGCGAAGAATCTGTATGGAGACCACGCGTGGATTAAAAAGCTGCCGATTTTTAACTAGTCCTTTGTAAAGAAATATGTTCTTTAGATACTTACTACCGCTGCCCTGATCCTTGAAGGCGGCCTCCTGGGGAATCAATTGTTTGTTTTTATTCCCCCCCCCTCCTGTTACTAATGTTCCCAGCCTTGAAGGACTCTCCTGGTTCTACATTTCTAGACCACATGCTTTCTCTCGGTATTGAACTCTCCAATATTTCTAACCTGTGGAATCTTTCTGGATTTCTCCTTGTCTCACACTCCGGCTGACCACACAGCTTCCTCCTGAGTTCCATTGCAAGCCATGGCCTTTGAATCGTAGCCGTTTCTGGGTACCTGTATAATAACTTTTTATCGTTGATGGTTTCAGGGTTTGTGGTCCCACCTTGCCGGGTGGACTGATCCCTGCTGTGCCCTTTCCTTTAATGCTGTGGACAATGACGATTCTCCCCGCCCCTCCAGAATTTGCATGGATTTGGTAAAAGTCTATTTCTAGGACTGTTTTTATTATTTTGCTTGGTTTTTTTTGGAAGCCAGCACATGAAGTGAATGTATAATGTGGAAAAGGTCTTGAACTGGGTCCATGTGCGGCAGAAATGGCCTTTTGAGTTACTCTCTGGTTGGCAAAACAAGACTTACTCCCTGCCTTGTGTTTTATGTCTACAATTATTTTATTATTATGGCCCTGTATGGTATTTTTTTTCTTAATTTCCCTTCCCTGTATGGAGCTCCAGTGGAAATAAAAAAGATGCTATATATCTGAAGAAAGGCCTAATCGCTTTTCGGAGGACTGTTTGTTAAACAGCTAAATTTGGTCGCTATTTTTTTTTTCCCAATAAAAGGAGCCCCATATTTGGTTTCACTTGTGATTTTCTTAAAATGCGATTACATGGATTTTTAAAACCCAATACGATCATTTAAAAAAATAGTATGTTAATCGCACTGTGTGTATTATATATTAACTAGCAGTAAAGCCCGGCTAAATTTGGTCGCTATTTTTTTTTCCCAATAAAAGCAGCCCCATATTTGGTTTCACTTGTGATTTTCTTAAAATGCGATTACATGGATTTTTAAAACCCAATACGATCATTTAAAAAAATAGTATGTTAATCGCACTGTGTGTATTATATATTAACTAGCAGTAAAGCCCATTGTGAAAGCAATACAACGGGGTCTAGAAAGAGGTTCTGGGGCAGTGCTCTGGCTTTGGGCAAACAGTGTCAATTTGCTGTGGTGACCTCAGCAGGATATAATGACAGAGTCCACTGTTTTCTCCAGAGGAACTGATCTCTGCTACCTGAAGAGCAGTTGTAATTGTGAGTAATCTGTAGCCCTCACCTGGAGATTGGCAGCAATTGTTACCCAGGACAAAATGGCTGGTTTGGAGGGTGGAGTCTATGGCATTCTACCTGTCTGAGGTCCCACCCCTCTGCAAACCCCACCCTCTCCAGGCTCCACCCCTCAAATCCCCAGGAATTTGTCAGCATGTAGTTGGCAACCCCATCTCCTTCCCAGCTAGCCACCAACCTACCATTATCTGCCCCTTTGACTTCAGCTGACTTCTGCCCTCCCTTCTGCAGAACAGTTGTAATACTGAGTGCTCTCCAGCCCTCACCTGGAGATTGGCAACAATGGTTCCCTATGTGGGACTGACTGGTTTGGAGGGTGGAGTCTATGGCAGTGTACCTGTCTGAGGTCCCACCCCTCCTCAAACCTCACCCTCTTCAGGCTCCATCCCTCAAATCTCCAGGAATTTCCCATCTGGAGTTGGCAACCCTATCAGGACTGGCCCCAATGTGTTTTCTCCCAAAGGCCAAAGTAGGTGACAGGACCAAGCTTAGTTGCCTACCAACAGGCACTGAGGGGAATGTAGGGTTGCCAGCTCTAAGGAGGGAAATACCTGGAGGTTTGGGGGGTGGATTCTGTAGAGGGCCGGGCGACGGAGGCATCGGCCTTCTGTCGCCCGCCTTGCCCCCCCAATCTCGGCCCGGGCGACCGCGGCTCCTGGAGTGTGGGCAGTATGGCATTGTATCTGTCTGAGGTCCCCCTCTTCCTCCTCCTCCTCAGACCCCACCCTCAGCAGGCTTCATCCCTAAAATATCCTGGAAGTTTCCAACCTGGAGTTTATTTTATTTATTTATTATTATATTTATACCCCGCCTGTCTGTCTTAAGTTTTACAAAAAAAAACCCCACAGCCTCTGCCTAGGGAAAGGGCAGTCTTTCCCTGCAGTGGTAACCAAAGCAGCTGACATTCTCCTCTCCCCTATGAGGTATGTTATGCAACTGAAAATTCCAACTGCCTTGCGGGGGGGGAGTTTGAGGTGTGGAATGGAGTGAAGTCCAATCAGCTTCCATATGCAAATGACCTTGGAACGCTGGGCGAGACTGCACAAAGCAGCCAGTCAACCCAGCCAGTGTCTTCTGAGTGGCAGTTCTTCCGGCCTAACACTAAAGGGGCCAATTTTAGAACGTTGGTGCCCACTATTCAATTATTTGCAGCAGTTGTGGTGTGGGCGGGACCCGGGCTTTGCCTTCTGATTGGTGGCGGTATATGCTGAGGAGCAGTTCCATCAGCCATACACTAAGGGAGTGCATTTTAGAATTAGAACGTTGGCACCCACTACTCTTTTATAATAAGGGAGAGATTGTGCTGTTCAGTTAAATGTGATAGCTTTGAGTAAAATGGGGGGGGGCTGGATCCGGCCACTTTGGAGGTTGTCTCTTCTCTGCCTCGCTGATGGCAGTCAGTAGGTGTTCAGGGGGGAAGTGCCCATTGGCGCATTATTCCACCCTCTTCTGGCATTGGAAAGTCTCTTGTTTCTTATTCCTGAATACTCTGCTGTTTGGCAGTTGACAAGATGTTCAAACTGGGTTGCATTTTAGAGGCAGAAGTGGTAACTAGGGTAAGATGGTTTCAGGCGGGTGGCCATGTATCAGTAGAACTGTTAGATGCAAGTTCAACCGCACCTTAGAGACCGACAGAGTTTCAGGGTCTCAGTTTCCAAGAGTCAAAACTCCCGTCGTCACATGGCTTGTGTTAGAATCATAGAATTACAGAGTTGGAAGGGGCCATCCAGGTCATCTAGTCCAACCCCCTGCTCAATGCAGGATCTGCCTCGAGCATCCCTGACAAAGTGTTTGTCCCGTCGCTGCTTAAAGCCTGCCAGGGAGGGGAGGGGGAGCTCACCACCTCCCTTGGCAACTGATTCCACTGTTGCACAACTCTTCCTGTACGAGAGTTTTTTCCTAATATCTACCTTCCCACCCTTCAACTCACTCTGGAACATCAAGGACTAGAAACTTGCTGGAAAGGATGCCAAGGTTCCCATAACTCTGACTCATCCCAGAGAGTTTCACCAGTTACGACTTGGTGCTGTTTCTGCTTGACCGAGGACTGCGCAATAGAAAATGCTGTCTCTGAATATTGATGGGGCTTCGGGGTTCGTGATGGTTTCTGAGCATTGTATCAAGAAGCATGGGGACTGACTGCTCTTGGGCATTCTTGAGGCCGAGGTCTAGGCTTGGTGAGCCATGCCTTGAAAATAATGAAAATTGATTTTATTTTACAAAACTTCTACCCTGCCTTTCTGCCACTCCCCTAATCTCCAAAGGTGGGAGCGTGCAAAGCAGGGTCTCTGAAGATGACCATAGTGGGTGGGGCAGGTTCATAAGGGAGCAGGCAGTCGTTCTGGTCCGTATGCAACTAGGTGATCTGTAGCTCAATTCTGCAACTAGTATTGTGCAAATCTGCATCCCTTCTACATGACTTACTCTGTGAATTCCCCTGTTTGGCATTCCACTGTGCAGGCCAAGGGTCCTGCAGCCCCATTTTTGACCACCCTGTTTAGCCACCTCTACGCATTTGCCCTGAGACTGATAACATGTGAACCTTCTGTCACCAGTCAAGAGGAGCAGGCCCTAGGAAAACTGTGGCCAGTCAGAAAAGACTCCCAACTAACCCAAGTGGGCCAGCTGTCTTGGCGTAATGCAGCTCTGCCCATTGTGAGGATCAGCCATAGTTTCCATAGCAGAGGACATCTTTGAGCATTTTAATGTTGTTTTCAGAAGTCTTTATTCCCACCTAAACCACCGTTGGCCTGTCTCAAGGGGGAAGAGAAGAACCTCGTTGTTTCCCCGAAAGACTTCACAATTAGGTAGTCTAACTGATCTTTTATTCATAACACGGGAGCTTCAAAAGCTAGAAGCGGAGTCCTTTGTGTTTTCAAAAACAAGACTTGCAGCTTCTCCAGCAAATGTGTCTGAGCTCCTCCTAGTAGTGAATATATAAATACAGAGGCAATATTGAGGAAATCCCCATAGATGGTTCTGGCAAGTTGCTTGCAATCCACACACCCCTCCCCAGTGCTTTGTCGTGACCCCCCCCCCCCCCGTTCCTTGGCCTGGCCCCCCCCCCCCCATGCTGGGATTAAATGTGGCTTGGTTTTGCCAGGAGTGTGCAGGGTTGGTGCAAACTAGCCCCAAGGTGTGGGATTTGATGCAAGCCCAAGATGCCTTTGGAAACCTGGAATCAGCAGAGAAGCCTCTAATTTATTCAACTCAGATCCAACACTAGATGGCGCAGGTGAGCTGCTAGATGGCATCTTTCCCATTATAAAATATTTTTGCCTGAATTTCATCCCTCCCTCTTTCCGAAGAGGGCCACAATCCCATTATTATCCTGATAACTCTGGCAAGTAGCTCAGTCTGACCAGCCCAAGGTCACTTACTGAGACATTGAGATATACAGTTGCAAATTGGGGGGGGGGGTTTCATATTCCATCACCACCACCCAGGTTTGCATGAACATTTTCTTTTGGTGAGAGAGGGCAACACTTCCCTGAGGAGAGGTTGACTGCAAAACAAGTGGAAGACCGAACACTCTTAAGAGTTGTAAGAGTAGTCAGTCCTAACGCATGGCTGTTATTCTGAGTCATCTCCAGTTCTGAAGGGACCTCTGGGTAAGATGTCTGTCCATTGCGTTCTTTCTACCTCTGCTCTGCTACATGATCCCCTCTTCCTATTTATTTCCACCCTGCTTTTTGTCCCAAGGGGGACCCAAAGAATTTTACATTGTTCTCCTCCATTATTACCCTCACAACAACCCTGTGGATTGAGAGGGGTGGCCGTGTTAGCCTGTCTGTAGCAGGAAAAAGAGTTAAGAGTCCAGTATCAACTTAAAAGACTAACAAAATTCATGGCAGGATAGGCGCTTTTGTGAGTCCTTGCAAGTCCTTGCTGTATCTGAAGAAGTGAGCAGTGACTCGCAAAAGCTCATACCCTACCACAAATGTTGTTAGTCTTTAAAGGTGCTCCTGGACTCTTACGCTTTTCAACAACCCTGTACGTTAGGCTGAGAGGCTGGGACTGGTCATAGAATCATAGAATGTTAGAACTGGATGGGACCTTGCAGGTCATCTAGTCCAACCCCCTGCACTCTGCAGGAGCATAGCTGAAAGATAGCCCTACATACCTACAACATACCCGAAAGATGGTCGTCCAGCCTCCGCTTGAAAACGTCCAGCGAAGGAGCATCCACCACCTCCCGAGGCAGACTATTCCACTGCTCAACCACTCTTACAGTTAGGAAGTTTCTCCTGATATTTAGCCGGTAACGACTCCGTTGTAAGTCACCTAACAAGCTTCTGTAGCAGAGTAGGGATTTGAACCTGGATCTCCCAAAGCCTAGTCCAGCACTCTAACCACTCCACCACATTGGCTCACATTTTGTCCTAACCGCCACCTGAAGAAGAAGAAGAGACTGGATTTATACCCTGCCCTTCACTACCCAAAGGAATCTCAGAGCGGCTTATGATCTCCTTTCTGTTCCTCTCCCCACAACAGA